AGAAAAGTCTGAGGGAAGTCCTATGGAAGCTAGCAGTTTTATTTATCCCTCATGCCATGAAAGTGGTTTGGTGGGGTATTTTTTTTTTATGTAGCAGACACACGGAGAGCTAACTTTGTGCTTATCTCTAGGTGCTATAAGTAATGCTTCTCCAGCAATAGTTTATAGTTGCCACAGAAATATTTCTGACACTGATCTGATTGACTGAGGTGGATTTTTTTAGAAATGGTCAATGCTGTGAAGATGGTTAAGACCCTACAACCCGGAGGTAAATGGTCCATTTCAACTGTTTAGGCAGTCTGAAGCTTCAGTCTCTCAGTACCTGATGGTTATGGTGAGGCTAGATTTGGGTGAGAAAGGAGGATGTGAGGTGCTGGGCTTCTCTCTGGGATGTTCCCACAGGCTCTTTGGGAAGAGAACAGTGCACTCTAAGCATCTCTGCATTGCCACCAATGCAAGCACCTTGCCTGTGAGCTCTGCTTAAGCCACTGCAGTCTTTTGTGGAAAACAGAGAGTTGACTGAGTAAGGTGGGAAGGACTTTTCTGGAGAATGAGCTGCAGATGGCTCAACTCCTTCGAGGAGCTCACTCTTTCCATGTGCCCCAATTTTGGGTAGCCCAGTTGGAGACTTCTTCAAAGGAGACGGCTCTGGATACTTTCAGGACTTCAGATTTCTGCAAGGCTCTTCAGTGTGAGCTCCTATGAAAGAGGGGTAATGGAAATGACTCCCTTCTTTATCTTTCAAAAGGTATTTAGGCCACCCTTCCCCCATGGCTGAGCAGACGGCTCAGAGGAGACAGGGGTGTAGGAATCATTAAAGTGAAATGTGAGTCATGTTCATTAAAGGCAAGCTAGCAGAATGTCTTATATTAGTGGCTGCGTAATGATTAGAGCTTCCTGTAATAATGATGATGGTGATTCTACTATATGAATTGAACATTCATTCTAAGTTAATTCACATCCTTTTAACTAATAAGTTATTTAAGGGAACAAGAAAAAAAAAAGAAACCCTTTTTAGCTCATAATTTGAATAGACTGATCAGAAGAATGCTGAAATAGCAACTCTTCCTCTGTGCTGGGGAGATTCAAACACTAACTTTTATCTCAGCTTTGTAGTTTTATTTATTCATAATTCATTGCATCTCTGCTAAATACTAGGCCTCCCTCCCATGGGAGATTGTCTATGTCTTCACTAGTGATATGTTCCTAGTCAAAATGGTGATAAAGAACTTTATTTTGGTGTGAAATTATTTGAAGACAACTTCATTTTTATTTTTCTTATTCTGAGACATGGCAGGAAGATTAATGATTTACTGTTTGCCTTTCAAAATCTCCATTTTTGAGCAAGAAATCGTGGTCTACAAATATTTTTCATCAGGAAAAAATAAAAAGGGGAAAAATTATTTATTGTATATAGGACATAAAAATCTGAATAACAAGATGAAAATGAGGCAAAAGTTTTAGTTTAAATATGGAAGGAAAACTCTGACAGTGGCAGCCATGGCTTTGCAGTAGTCTCTTGATAGGGAGGAAAAACCCTGGTTAAAGCTGTTTAAAGATGGCCTGGGAGATAGAATAGATGAAATAGAATTCCCACAGCAGAGTAGAAAATAGATACAAGAAGCTAAATGGTCTTTTTTGCTTGCAGCTTTGGTCATTCTGAGGATCTGTACCCACTTGCAAGTTGAGGACTTGAGCAGTTGTGTTCTATTGATGTCAACTTCTGCACATCTGCAAATTCACCTGAACAAGTTGAAACTTTAAGTTAATAACATAGGTTTTCTCATTGCTTTATTCATTACTTTTGCCTTGCAGACAGAATAGACTTGCCCAAGTCAAGTTTTGGCATGGTTAGGTATAAACACTGTACAGAATGGCTCAGTGTTTCAGTTGTGAGTCCTGCTTAGAAGTAACAACTGAATTCTTACCATGATTTCCCTCCTGATCAAAGGATTATATGTATTAAACTATGTCTTCTATTGCCTTATATTTTGAGATGAAACTAGTAACACTTTCAGCTCTGTACACTGTAATCTGAGAGGTTCAAAGTTAAATTCGTATTAGTATAATCTGGATGAGCCTGGAAGATACACTATGATGCCTTAGTACATGCAAGTGTGTTCAGCTGAGTTACAGCATTTAATGGCCTTTACAGCTTAGCTTGTGCAAAACTGCAAACATGTACATTTGGAATAACTTGCCATAATTTACTCTTTAGGTTGTGCTCTTGTTGCTGACACAGTCTGGTCTGCAAAGCCCTCAAAGTTAGCTTTTATTTGAGTCATTGGAGGTATCTGCTTCCTTGTAAACAATTTATCATGAGCATTTGGTTATTTGAGATGGAACTCAAATTGGTTTGGAGAATGCTTCTTTGTGGATGCTGTGGCAGATTCTGGAGAACAGCTGTGACAGGAGTCTGGCTGGGTCTGCCTGGGCAGGCCTGGGTGGAGGGAGCTGTCCAGCCATATTTTCTGTATGAATCTTGCAGGGGTGATTCTTAATGTTTCTTTAGCTTTCCTTCGGATGAGAACTTTTCTGCTTTCTGCTCCAGGCCTACAAGAAAATCCTTACTGCAGTCAAAGTTGTTGTGGAATACCAGTACTGAATTCCAGCCCAGATCAGGCTTAGATAATCATTTAATAAACATCAAGTTCTGACTACCTTAGTTAAACTAGGTTGAAACACCAGCACCTTACATCTGATGCTGCAGATGAACATTCTCACTTCAGAATACAACTAACTTGAAATTATCTCAAAAATATGGCCTTGTCCTCATCCATATCCCTGAGAAAAAAAAAACAAAGTCAGTTGAAATTTCTCATAGGTATCACAGAATCATTTCGGTTGGAAAAGATCTCTTAAGTAATTGAGTCCAACCTTTGATCACTACCATGTCAGCTAGACTATAGCACTGAGTGCCACATTTTCCTGATGGTGCCTCTACCACCTCCTTGGACAGTCTATTCTGATGTTTAATAAGCCCTTTCTGTGAAGAAATTCTTCCTGATGTCCAGCCTGAACCTCCCTGGTTCAGATTGAGGCTGTGTCCTACTGGCTGCCTAGTAAGGAGAAGGGTTTGACCCCCACCTTGCTACCACCTAATTTCAGGGAGTTGTAAAGAGTGATAAGATCCCCCCTCAGCCTCCTTTTCTCCGAGTTAAACATCCCCACCTCCCTCAGGTGCTCCTCGTAGAACTTGTGCTCCAGAACCTTCATTAAATGTAATAAGCAAAAAAATGTTTTCTTTGGGGTTTGAAAATACACTGCTAATCACTCTGGGTTAATCTGAAGACAGAGGCCTTTGAAAGAGAAATATTTCTTTCCCTCTTAAAATAGCTTTTTTTCAGCTGCTTCTCAAAACTGAGTTGTTCTCAGGCCATGTCTTCTCTTTAGTTTTCCCTGCACAGCATCTAACACACAGAACCATTTCTGGTAAGGTGCTAACTTGGTTATGAATGTCTCTGTTTCTGAATGTCTCTGATAATCTCAGTGGTTTGCATATGCTTGGACATGGGTCTGGAAGACATCTAATATCACACCAAAGGTTCAGCATGGTTAATAATATTGACCTGAAATCTGCCAGACGTTTATGCATCTATTTGTATTGAGTGGTGGAGTCTAAGTTCTGGGGGAAATAGAGAGGTCTGGCAGCTCACTGTGCAGTTTTATACTTATTGGTAGGCCTAACTGTTCTGCTTTCATTTCAGCTGTATTTCCTCCCTCAGAAGAGTTTCTGTACTTTCATCATCTTTACTGGTGACACTTCCCAGAGTTGTGTACCATGATATAAATAATGAAGGATGCTGGCTGCTCTAACCCAAAACACACAGGAAGTAGAATATGTGGCAAGGCTCACTGTGCCCTGTCTTGTGCTTGCATGTTGCAATGGAATTCAGCTGGATGTTAGGAAGTGAATCAATAGTCAGGATGATAATGATCAAAAAGGATGTTCGCAGACAATAATTACTGATCTTCTGGCTGTATTTTTTTGCCAGCAAATATAATGTTCTGATGAAGTTATAATTTAATTAACTTCATCTTAACAGTATCCAAAAGCCTATACTTTGCAGGAATCAGTCACGCCCTGTCATCTGTCTACACTGATGTTACCATTGCTCTTGTTTGCTGTGTTGACGGTGAAAATTGCATCTGGCTTTTATATGAAATTCATGAAGATCTCTCCTTTTAAGCAACCATCAAAACAGCTTCTTATACTTCAACCTGAACATTCATGTATTTACGTTTAGCTTTGTGGAGAACCACTGGGAAAAAAAAAGATTTTTCTCCTCCCTCTCCTCTTACTTTCCTCCTTCATCTGCCTTTCCCAGTACTCTCCTTTACTTTCTCCTCCCTTTCATAACCTCATCTAGATACCTATTAACTCTCTGTTTCAATAACACTGCTCTGGCTTCCACGAAAGTGCTTTTTAATGTAGGAGATGTACTTCAGCCATAACACCAGGGTCACTTTCTGAGTAACATTTTATGGGATTGATTAAACTTTAACACCATAACTGTTGACTTTATAGGCCAAGGAAGAGACACTGAGTGCTAAGCTCTGGATAATTTGTGCTTCACAATTTTTTAAAATCAGATAGAGATAAGGTTTAATGTGTTTGATGAAGCAACCCTTTATTTTTTCTACAGAGTGACCTATTTTAAAAGACCCACAACATTTAACATAAAGTCTTTAACACTAATGAAGTAAAGTTACAGTAAATAACCATATATATGTAGAAAAAGTTATTTAGCTCCATGGGAAGAATATGAGAAGATTTAATTTGCTCTTTCCTTGGCTTGAAACGTGAACACTTCATGTTCTTTGTTATTGCTAGAAAGTGAATGAATGGTTGCTCTTGGCTGAGAGTTGATGTTGCAGAAACATGTTGTTCCTTCTCACTGCAGGTTCTCCCCTTGCAGTGACTTTGGAAGGACAGAAAACAATGGTGGCTTGCTAAATAAACAGAAAAACCTCAGCTCTCCTTAAATCTCTTCTTTCAGTGTGTGCAGTGGTTGGTGCTGAGAAATTGCTGGACAGTGGTGCCTCTCGATGTATTCCAAGAGGAGGAGGAGTACGAAGGAGTGCTTGGTGGATAATGTGACTGCAGGTACAGTTCCCAGGCTGATTTTAGTCTCACATGATTTTGGGCAGGCCATCTGTAATCCCCTCATCACCTCACCTGCTCAGTGGCTGACAGAACACTTATCTGCCAGGGTTCCCCCGTTCTTCTCTGCCTGTGGGAAACTCCTCTGCCTGGAGCTGACACACTGCTCATAATTACTGTTCATAATTAATGGTATGTTTGCCCATGCAAAGGGAAGAACAGTTGTACTTTCTTGTGGAGCCTGAAGAGTTAAATCTAATGCATGATTAACCTCGGATGGGAGCACAACTGAACAGAGGTTCAGTTTCACCCCAGCTGAGCAACTTGGATGCAGATTCCCTGGGGGCATACCCAAGCTGAAGTTTATGGGTCTGAGCCTTCCCTGGACATTTTTACTCTGTCAGAGCAAACTAGTGCAGGGATGTTGGATAATGCTCTGTTATGAGCATGAACTTCCACTGGAGTTTCTGGACCTCAGATAATAAATGATAGTTAAGAGCTCATCACAAATCCCTGAAAGTATTCAGCCTGTGTTATGGTGAAACCCAGTGACTTTCAAGGTGACAGAGAGCTCCCCAGTCAGAAAGGATGGCTTGGTGTGGCCAGGGAGTGCAGTTATGGCCTGGCATCAGCAGATTTCCTGATGAAGTCACAGTAAGATTGCTGTTTTAGAAAATCAATAGCATGGTTAATTGTCTTGTCCTAACATTTCTTGGGAATGGTAGCTGTGCAGCTTAAAAAAGAGCCAAAATTTAAAAGCCTTGTGGCTTACTATTTCTGTTGAAACATTTTTAAATTGAAAGCCAAGTCACACTTCTCATGCTAACTTTCATAAAAGGGTTCACATATTTGAACACTTCTTGAAACTCGAAGGAGTTGTGTGGAGGGCTCTGTCTCTCCTCTGAATACAGAAGACATTTGGCCTCCTTGGAAGGCAAAGACATCTAGAGCTGCTGGGAAAAGCTGGAGAGCTCAAGGTGATTTATTGCCAAGGAAGTAAGGAAGGCCAATGTCTCCACGAGCCCTTCACATGATGCTCCTCTCTCTGGGCTCTTGCCAGTAGCATTGACCAACACCTGTCTTAGTGCCCCTCTTTGGAGATGGGTGGTGTTGGGAAGGGGCAGGGATAGCACCGAGTTAAGGGCAGCTCTCCAGAGCTGCTTGAAACTGCTGATTGATCAAAAGCACAATTACATTGTTGAGGAGGATTGGGTGTTACAAGTGATGGGTAAGAGGATGAGGCAGCCTCTGGCTCAGGAGATCCCTGAAACATTGATTGTTGGAAACTGGCAATAATATCCAGGAGAACAAAGGCTTTGCCTTGTTCTTAGCAGGTTCCTGGGGAGTCTGCCACTTGTGGCTGGCAGAGATAGGTCCAAAACTAAATGGTCCTTGAGTCTGTTCTTAGTGCTCATAAATCCCAATTCTCACCTTAAAACTAAGGCTTTGCTATAAGCCTTCAGGCAGCTCCATAGCACACAAAGCAAAGACTGTTGCTTTTTTTCCTTTGGATAGGCTGAATCTAGGAAAGTTCAGATTGCTTGTGGAAACTGAGAGGGGCCTTGGTCACATGTCTTTTCCTTTCCACACTGATGAGTCTACCTGTATTTTTTCCTTAAGTCAAAAGTATTTCTCATATGATTTCTCACTAGCTGTTACCTTCTCTCTCTCAATCCATACAAGGTTTGTTACTTGCAATTCCCCTTCAGTATTTTCTTTGCTCTTGAGTCTCGTGTCCTTCAGCATGTGCCACTTTAGCTGATCGCTGAAGTCTCAAGAGGGTCTGGCAGGCACTGTTGCTGTTTTCCAATCTTGCCAACTGTAATATTTCTCCCAGGCAAGGTCCCTCATAATTCAAGAGAGGTCAGTCATGACCCAGGAGCTGAACCTGTCCTTTACAATGAATCAGCAGTGGGATTGAAAGAATTTATGCAAACCACCAAAATTATTTTCTTATTTCCCGTACTGCGGATAGGTCTGACAGCATAGTTTGAGTTTTTTCTGTTCTACAGCAAATAGTAAAAAGCATAGGATCCATTAAATATCAGCCCAGGCCTCCTTCATCCTACATGTGGGCCTTGAGTCAGTCCCCCTGCTGCACAGGAAACAGAAGAATTAAGCCAAATGCAAGCATGTAACAATTTATCACCAACCTGTTTGTTCTTCCTTGGAGTCTCCCACCACCACTAAGCTGCTGACAGCCCTGCCTCTCACTAAGGGAATTAAATTTTTCTTTCAGACAATATTTAATTCCATTCTCAAACAAAAACAATAGATGGGGAGTTTGTCTCTTAACTGTGTCTGACATTTTTTTAGAGACTCTCAGAAATGAGAGGGAGGGATTTTTCTTACAGCAATAAGTACTCTTCTGTACTTTCAGAATTAGGTAGTGTAAAAAAAGTCAATCTACCTGCTGTGGTGTTTTATCGAAATTCAAGCTGTTCCAGACACGGCAGATTATATTTTGGTATCACTTAACTTCTTGAAGTTTTTGAGATCTGACTCCTGGTCCAAGCCAGAATTTTTGTTTTGGGCACTCATGTCATAAAGAGAGGCATTATAGGACAGGGAAACATGAAACACAGAGTATTTGAACCCTCAGGGAGAGCTTGTCTCCACAGAAATGCTATGGAAAAAAAGCCCCAGTGGAGTGGTTAAAGGTACAATGCTAAAGCTGATCAGTAAAATCAGTCTGTAAACAAAAAGATAAAAAAGATAATTTTTATCTTCCACTGTGTGTGCCTCAGTATGCCTGGAACCAAATCTGCTCTGGTGGGGAAGCTCTTCCTTTAGTTACGTGTTTTATCTAGTATTTTGTTGCCTTTGTAAAAAGTCTATCCTTAAAGGCTAAGAGTCTAATTCTCATTTCAAAATACCTTTGATGTGCAGATAATTAAATTAATATGCTTTAGAAACAGCACAATTTTGCTGAAAATTTGAATGTAGACGTATTTAGCTCTCAGGATTTTAAAAGGTTTTCTGTACATATCTGACTCTGAACAGTTTCTTTTATCCTAAGAGAAGAAATGGTAGTAACTCAGAAATGGGAATTGGACCCACTGCAGTTTGCCACTGCCCGTGAGCTATGGAGCCTGTATAGTCCAGGTCCAATTCAAAAAGGTGCAGATGTGGTCAGTTCTTTGTTTCAGCCACTTCTTTTCCAAAGAAAATGTCTTTTATCCCTGTAAGCATCTAAATAGTCTAAAATCTGGGATGTGTTATCTTTGCTCAGGTGAATGGCACCTCAGTTCCTGAGCAGTCCTTGATTTGTCAGTGTTTCATGAGCAATACAGAGTAAAGTGTTAAACCCACCCAGTAAGCTTTTGCACACTTCTCTCCCTTGAGCATGCTGCCAAAGCAGACATTAATCAGCTTTACTCTAGGAGGTAGAATAGAAACTTGCTTGTAAATTATGACCATTACATTTCCGGCTTAAATTTCCCAACTCCTTTAAGCTAATGTTTTAAAAGACTAACCCTACCACTCTAGCAGGGGCCATGTCTTGCCTCTATATCCATTTGGCACAGTCTCTCTCTTTTTTTTTTTTTTTTTCAAGTTGAGGAATTACATTATCTCTGTGAAATAACTTTCCTTCTTTAGTTGTTCAGTTTGATTCAAGGATTTTTGATTAAGCGTTCAGGGGTTATGAATAAATAAGAACCAGCAGCCCAGTAATTGGTATATCATTACTCCCTAGTAGCACATTTAATCCTCAGCTTCGCTGCACCACATAACCTTTTCCTTCAGTCCTCCTCCTCCTCAATATTGCTTACAAAAAAAAAAAAAAAATAAAAAAAAAAAAAAAAAAAAGGGAGAGAGGGAGGGGGGAAAAAAGCCGTGTCACTGCAAGCTTCACAAGTTACCATTAAAATGAATACTTTTTAATTTCTCTGGATGAGATGGAGCCCTGTGCTCTGGGACAATGCTGATGGATGACATTTTAATGCAGCTGAAATGTTATTTTTACTGAACCAGGGAAAACTATAAATTTTGCTTCATTGCCACTGATGGCTCTATGCATAAAACTATGGTGGCGCCCATTGCCCATGAATAATCACCTCAGCATGGCAGATGTTACTTCGCAGGGAAAGCAATTCTTATGCCGAAGAATTGTGGAAAGATTAATTGTCTACAGCTGTTTCATGGCCCACAGCAATCTTGATACATTTATGATAAGTTTAAGAGCTCACTAGAGGCAGCTCCTATTCCCTGTTGTGAGAGAGGGAGGAGGGGGAGCTGAATGGCTTTATTTTGACACCTGGATCCATAGAATCTGTCAGCTCCATTACAGCCTTCATAGAAAGCCGGCTGTTGGCAGGTTTGGGATGATTGTGAGTGGGCTAAGATGCAGGAATTATCTAGACATAGATAAAGAAAAGGAGACTGAGAAGAATTATTCAAATTTGTGCAAATGAATTACTTCCATTTTTCCTCCCTCTGCCAAGTGGAAATTGAACGTAACCCGCTCTGACCTTTCTCTATTAAGTGCTGCAAATTGCAGTAAATGCATAGTTCTGAGTGCCCTAATGAGACAAAGCTCTAGCAATGCCTCATTAATAAGGAAAGTTTGACCTTGCTGGTCAGCCCTTCATTCGATATTGAAAAGAAATAAGAAAAAAGAAGAGATGACCTGCTGTAAATTTTGAACAATACCTTTGATTTAGTTTGTATATACTCCCAAGCAGACACTTCACAACCTTTTTTTTCCTTCCATTTTTACTATACAAGTCAAGAAGAGGTATTTACTTACTAGGTTCCTCTGTAAATTCATGAGGACAGTGGTGATTTGTGACTGGAATGCACACAGGTGATCTGATGAAGCTTTTTCAAATGTGTTTTTAGTATGCTTGTATCGATAAAAGAATGTTGATACCCTCCATTCTACACAGGTTTGTTTTCCTTTTTCCCTCAGCCCATATCCATTACCACTCTATCTGAGTAACAATGAGTATTCAGCCATTACTTGAAAAGAATATGGCCAGGAAATCGTATTTTATCCTTAA